CTTAAATGCCAATAATAGGGATTCTAGAACCAGAATGACTACATTTGAATCTAGGTTCTGCCATAGCTGGGCTTCTGTGAGCCCCAGTTTCTTTATCTATGAGGATAATAATAGTATCTAACTCAATTGCACCTAACTGTTGTGAAGATTAAATAAGTTGGTATGTATAAGGTGCTCAGAACACGGCCTGAAACACAGTAAGTATGATATGTGTTTGCAATTACTGTTACAGTGGTCCATAAGCCCTCAGACCTGATGCCAAGTATCAGAACATCCAAAAACCAAAATTCTTTCTGTAACTCATTTGGCAGCAAAACCTGACCCAAACACATGCAAGGCTATTTACAGTCTTTATTTATCCCACTCACTGTAAATATACATGCTGCAAATTTTCTTTCCTTTTCTTTTCTTTTTTTTTTTTTTTGCTGCAAATATTTTGCTACAAATTTCTTCATTTTGCTGCAAATATCTTCATGTATTTGATCATAGGATGCTGCCCCAGACTTCACTGGGGTACATTTGTTAAATTCCTAAAATCCAAGGGAAAAAAATTAAAATTCTGAAACACATCAAGCCCCATAGGTTTTGGATAAAAGATAATGGACCTACATTACCTCTGGAGCCTGAACAATTTCTATGTCCCTAAAATAAATGGTATCTTCTTAAATAAACACAAGCAAATGATGCTCCATACCTAGAGCAAATTTTTTTGGATTTTAGGAGGAAGAAAATTTTAGGAGGAAAAAAATTTTAGGAGGTAGAAAACATTACCCCGTATAATTAGGAGGACCCTGCATTCCCAGAATGTTCCTTTCAAACAAAATCCATTTGTGATATTTTATTTACATGTCATACCAGTCAGAAAAGCTCTTGAAAAGCTCTAAATTCTAAGGCTTGCTTAAACAAAGCTTATTCTCTTAACTTAGATCATAAATAAATGACTAAGACTCTTTGGGGGCAATAATGTGCCCTGAATCATGCATACCAAATCATCACAGAACTTTAAAGCTAGAAGAGACCCTTGAGAACTAAACTATTACTCCTTCTCTTCCAAACTATTTTATAATCCATAAGTTTGCTCTCCCCTGTGAGGTAAGAATAACCTGCTCTAACTTGTCCTTAGACTCTGTTATAGGAACACCCTGTAGGTGAATGTGAATAAACTGGGTGGGGTACACTAACAGACTTGGGATCTAAAAGGATGGCTTGAATCTAACATAATACATCTACATGTCTGGCAAATGTCTCAATTCATACTCTAGAAAATAACAAGAATTTCCCAGCCCGGAATGAAGAAACAGTCATCTAGCACATGTTTTGTTTTGTTTAAAAAAAAAAAAATCGGCTTAGCTATCTTAATGGACTCACTGAGTCAAGAAAACATAATGTTGCTGCCCCAAAACGCTACTGTGATTAGGAACTAACTACATCAACAGTAGTATAGCATCCAGAAGGAACGAGGTAACTGCCCTCTCTACTGCAAACTAGTTAGACCATATCTGGAGTATTATGTTCAGCTCGGTGCTCCACGCTTTGGGAGAGACGCAGAAAGATGAGGACAGTGAGGGAATGTGAAACCATGTCACATAAAGAACAGTTGAGGGAGCTAAAGTTATTTAGTCCAGACTCTGAGACAACGCGCTCACTATCCCCAAGCCCCTGAAGAACTGTCATGGCACAGAGACAGACAGAGAGAGCAGACTTGCTCTGCATGGCTCCAAAGGACAGAACCAGAACCAACTGGTGTTAACAACAGAGAGAAAGATTTCAGCTAACTCTTGGAAGTACTTCTTAAAATGTAGAGCCACGCTAAGAGGTAGTGGCTTCTAAAGTCCTATCTAACCCTAAAGGTCCATAGTTTAAAAAAATCAGACACTTGTCATCACCTTAATCTCTTACTGCTGGTAACCACCATCCTCTGGCATCACAGCCTCTCCCTTAACTCTTCTTAAAATGTCCTACCCAGCCAACCAATCAGCCAAATGTTTTGTGAAGCCTGTGGGAGGAAAATGCCTGTTTGCTGGGCAATTAGTTTCAGTTTGCAGATCAGTGTCCTTATAAACAAAAGAGGGCCCTAGCTGAGGGGCAGGCAAGAGCTCTCAGCTAGACCTGAGAAATTAAAGAAATTCTTATGAAATCAAAGAGCAGGTAGAAGACCCATCTAATTACATAATGTATTATTATTATTATCTGGCATTCAGTCCTTACAGGAACACTAAAATAAAATACCCAGTACAATCATCTTCCCAAATGCCAGAGAATCCAACTCTGCAAATCAAACTAGGTATCTCAAGATCAGTTAGAAGCTTTCCTTCTGTCAAAGAGATGTGGGTACTGTTTGAAGTAGACTAGAACTCATGCTCAGATAAAAAAGGTCATCCTTGATTGCATCACACTGTAAAGCCAAAACTACGTATCAACAGGCCCACAAAGTTCAGTTCGGCTGCTGAGAACTGGACATAGGCAATCTATAGTACATTCACACCAAAAAAGTAAGAACTGTGTTATATTTAAGACACAGAAGAGTTGCTGAAGTTGGACAGCCTTCTAAAACTTTTGCCACCCAAAGACCATGATAGACATCGGTCTATGTCAGCCCATGAAAGTTACTAGGGCCTTGAACAGTTCGGATGGCTCTTGTTACTCAACCCAGCTTTACTTCACTTGAAATTGGATTCTCTGAAACTCCAGCTGAAGTATTGGAGAATATGTCCATGATGGGCTTAACAAGAACACATTCTTCCCTGTGCTTTTTAAACTGAACCCCAGAAGCAATCTAAATGTCCATAAGTAAAGGATTGCTTTAAAAAATTATTTTATGCTTATACCAAAAAATGCAACTGTTAAGAAGAATAAGGTAGGTCTTAAGTATGGACATGGAAAAAAAATTCACAATATATAGTTAAGTGAATACAGCAAGCTGTAAAAACAGTATGTGTAAAATTATTTTGAGTTTTTAAAACTATTTTTAAAAACCATCTGTGTATGTATGTTCATATATGCCCAGAAAAACGTTTGAAAAGAGATCTGTTAACAGTAGTAACCTCTAGGGACTGACTGGAACTAGGAGGCAGTAAAGGAGTGACTTTCACTTTTTCCTTTGTAGACTTCTTGTTGTTTGTATTTTTTGGAAGTAAAGGTTAACTTTGTGATTTAAAAATAGCAATACAAAAATAATAAAGGTAAAATAACATCAATTATACAGATATATGATATTTATCGTATACTAACCACTCAAAATAAGTAATTTGCTACTACTTAAATTCTACTGTGTGCTTCAAACTGTGGAAAATCTAATTCATCCTTTTTCTATTATATTTTACTACAACAACAAAAAATCATCACAGTACTACTAGGTTTCTCAAAAAAAAAAAATTGTAGTCATAAGGATAACTAACATACACATGGTGCTTACTCTGTACCAGGAACTGTTCTAAGCACCATAAATGTATTAACTTAGTTAATCTTCACAGCAATCCTATGAAGTAAGTACTATTATTATCTTCATTTCACAGTTGAAGAGAGGTTCAGTGACCTGACCAAGATTACGCGGTTAATAAGGGGCAGAGCTAGGATTCAAACCTAAATATGGACTCCAGAGTCCATACTCTGAACCACTGTACTTCCTGTCTCTTAGTAATATGTCAATCTCTCTATACCAGAGCCAAAAAAGGTTACAGTCAAAATCCAGCTAGTTAATATACTCCTTCAAGCTAGAAGAGATGCCAACTTAGCTTTTTACGGTTTTATAATCTGCATTCCTACTGATGTCAATGCCACGCTCCAACCCAAGATTCAAGACGGTATTAAGACTCATAATCATGTGGGAAAACTCTCCACAAATTCAATTATAGTCCAAAGTCCATACCTGACTCTACAGCAAATCACTGAGCCTAAGAATTAGGTCAGAGATCCATGACTGTAAGTACAGTCTGGCAAATAGTTTGGACAGATCTCCACCCCAACGCAGGCAAAGGAATTCAGAAACTCTTGTCTGACGTCCTGACAAGGTAGTTTTTATTTGTTTAGTTCCAGGCCCACTTTAGGTTAAAAGGAGACAAGAACAGGAGTTGTCTCTAACTCTGCTTGAAGACTTCAGTCAGGAGGAAGAAGGGCCTGTTTTCTATGTGGACTCAAAACAGATACCGGCATTTATCAGCATCCTCCAAACTGAACATTCTAACTTAAGGGGGGTGTGGGGCGGGAAATGGGCGTCCCTGCTTGAATTGTGTATTTGTCCAAACCTATTGACCTTGTAATTGAGGAAGAAAAAATGGTGCAAGGAAGGGATTTAACCTAATTTATAGGCATGCTCAACCTAGATACACACCTGTCCCAAATGACCTATTGAATCCACTTATTTGCAAGGAAAACATGGATTACAATGTCTCCCCCCGCCCCCGGAGTGGTCGGTCCCACTGTGGTAAACAAATTCCTCAGTATCTCTTCCACCTGTCACATGCACATTATACATATATGCACTGTGTGTACATACGTACACACATTATACACACACACACAAGGACGGATGATCAAGCACACGGAGGGTTCGGAAGGAATCCCTTCTACGCAGTTTTTGACCCATTTGTTGAAGGAGGTACTGTTCTGGCTTTCAAACTTCCCGAAATAACCCAGGCGGAGAGGCAGGGTGAATGAACCGAACCCAAAAGTTTGCGCCCATTCAGGGTCTCTGAGAAAGGCCAGAAAGCCGGGTTTGGAAGGAGATGCGATGCCTTCCACACCGCAGCCGCCCCCCTCCCGGGGAAGCCCAGCCCGGGGCGGGTGGGGGGGGGGAACGACAAAAGACTTTCCAGATTGGGGAGGGGGAGGCGTTCGAGCTGGACCTCGAACCTCCCCCGCTTGGGAGTCCAAAGCCGGGGAAACTTTGGGGTGAGGAATGATCAATTCCGGGCACCAGCCCAACCCTGGAGGCCCGGGGCTGGGGTGAGGGTGGGCAGTCGCGCGGCGGGGTGCAGCCGGCGAGGGGCGCGGGCACTCACCTGGGGGAGGGGCGGAGGGGGCCTCGGTGGCAGGTGGGGTGGGCGGGACGCTGCTGCTGCCCGGGAGCTCCGGCGTCGGGCTCAGCCGAGTGGTGGGCGCCGGGATGGTGGTCGCAACGGGGGTGGTCGGCGCCGGGCCAGTGCTCGTCGAGAGGGTGGTCGGCGCGGGTCGGGTTGTCGCGCGAGGGGTGGTCGGAGTACGGTCCACCGCCGGAGGGGCGGTCGGCGAGGGGCTGAGCGGCGCCTGGAAGGTGGTCGAGGCGGGTCCGGCCGTCGCCCGAGGAGGGGTGGTCTCCGGGGACTGGGCTGAAGAGGACGCCGCCAGAGGCTGGTGGACCGTAGTGCGCGGCGCTCCGGTCCTCGGGGCCTGGGCCGTGGGAGTAGTCGCCTTAGAGAAAGGGCGACTGGGCTCGCCCCGTAGCCCCGGGCCCGGAGACGCGTCCACCTGCCCCGCGGCCCCGCCGCCACCGGTGACATTCCCCGCCGAGGTTGCTGAGGCGGCGGCGGCGGCGGCCCAGCACAACAGGGCGAGGACGCCCAGGCTCAGCAGGCTCCTCATGGCGCGCTCGGCTCCGCCATTCATTCATTCAGTCATTCAGTCGGTCGGTCAGTCATCTTCTCCTCCCTGCACTCGGACCAGGGAAGCCGCCGCAGCCGCCGCCGCCACCGGGCGCACCATCGCCACCTCCCTCTGACAGGCGGCCGGCCCCGCGGGCGGGCCCCAGCGCGGAGGGAGCGACCCGGCGGAGCGCGGACAGCCCGCCCTCCCCGATTGGCAGTCTCGTCGACCTATGGGAGGCCACGCTGGCCCACGTGATCCGCCCGCTTCCCGGCCTCTTTGTAGCCCCGCTGGCCAATCAGAGGACGTCGAGGGGAGGGGGCGGTGTTAAGGCGGGAGGAGGGTGGTACGAGCCCCTCTCCAGCCCTTCGGGCTCGCGGCAGCCCCGGCTTTGTCTGCCCAAGGAGCGGGGCGCGGGCCGCGGGCATCGGGCGACGCGGAGCAGACAAAGGACGCGCCCCGCGCGGCAAACGCCGGGGCCAAGTCGTCTGCTCCACTGGGCGGCAAGGGCGACCCGGGGCGGGGAATCCGCTCTCGGGAGCTTCCCCGCCCTCTTGAACAATGGGGCGCCGGCGCCGCACCGGGACTCGGGTGGAGACTGGGCTGGAACCCCCACAATGGGCGAGGGCGGCAACAGCGAGGATGTAGAGCTCAGCATTGCTTGTGCTGCCCGAGAACGCCTGGCCTCGGCCCTGCGAGGTCCGCCCTGCCGTTCCCATTTCAGGGATGGGGAAACTGAGGCCCATGCTGAGGGCCCCACTGAGCCAAGACCCACGCCCGGACCAGACACCTGCTGTGGGCCCCAGCGCCGTGCCAGGCAGGACCGGGGTAGTAGAGACCCGCCGGCAGCCGAAGGTGCAAGCTTCCCGTGTAGTGGAGACAGACTCACGTGCACACTTTGCCCTGACCCTGCACCTCAACCCCTCCCCACGGGAGAACAGACTCGGATGGGGTTTGAACCTCAGCGTCCTCTTTCCTGCTGAGTGGTTTTGTGGCCTGAGCGCAGTTTTCTCACCTCTAAAATGGGCATGATAGACACAGAACACCCCCACACCTCCTGTCACAGAGATGAGGTGAGAATTCAGTAATGCACTGAAAGAGTTTAAACCCAGTCCCCGGCTCGCAGTAAACCCTCTTCAATGCTAACTAGGCGCAGGGTACTGTGCTCGGACAAGTCCCACGCCACAGCCCTGAAGTGTCCTCAGCCGCCTGCCCACTGCAGGGATTGGCGTGGGTCTGAGAGCAGAGCCTGGCCCCGGGTGACACCAAATCCTGTGTAAAGCTGGAATTCCGACGCGCAGCCTCGCGCCGTCTGCCCAGGATCCAGAGCCTGCTCAGGCGCGGCGGCTTCTAGGGAGAGCCAGGCGGGGCGGGTTTGTCATCTGACAAGGGCTTAATCCCAGCCCCAACGCCAACCCATTCCTGGCCTCTCCTACGTGATGCTTGCCTTTGTGTATGGTTTCCCATTAGTCACTGGCCTCCAACCAAAAAGGCCGGATGAGATTTGTATGTGGACTTGGGTATATGTTAATCTAAAAATGCGTTTATTCACCTGCGTGAGTAGTAGGTGGGGAGAGGATATGCACAGACTTGTGGATGAGAGCATAAACATCTTTGTGAGTCTGTGCGTATGGGTATTATATGTATTTGTGTGAGTTTATGAGACTGGTGTCTGTTTTGTGTATTGTGTGTTTTACGTATCTGCACACGTACTGGTGTATGTTTTATGGGTATTTTCTGCAGGGTTAGTTTCTTTTTATTTCTGAGCATATATGGGTGTGTGTTGGTAGGTCTGTCTATGTATGGAAGAGGACTGCAAAATGAGAGGGGTGTGTGTAGGTGTTCTGGTTTCAGACCAATATTTAGCAAATGCAAATCAAGATTCTGTTTTTACTTCTCTTGGGGAAGGAGGTGGACAGGTCAGCTCCTTCCCCATGTTCTCCTGCTGATTCTTCCTAGCCTTCCAAACCCCAACCAAAATACCATATCCTCTAAGAGACTTTCCTGGAATTAAACACTCCATTCCCATTTGCCCATGGCCCTTTGTTTATTCATTGATTATAGCCCTAATCTATCAGTCTATCTCTCCCCTGCCTCTTCCTGAAGGGATTAAGAATGGCTTTCAGAAATGTATACAATAGGATAAATTGAACTGCCCACCCGGCTTTTTTTTACTTCTCACAGGCACGCATCAACCATTAATACTAAAACTTACAATTTATGTGTCTGTCTCTCCCATTAGGCTGTTCTCTCAGTTCTTAGTGCCTAGCAGGGGTAATATGTGTGAGCACTAATCCATGCTGATAAAATTGAATTAAATTGAAAAGAGATGGTGCCATGGAAAGAGCTCATAGAGTCAGACAGACCTGGCTCATGATTTCACCAGCTGTGTAACCTTGGAGGAAATATTTTACCTCTCCGAGTCTTAGTTTTCTCGTCTATAAAGTGGGGTCAATAAATTATGTCTCACTTAGGAGCTGAGGATTGAAGAAAATTTTTTCACAGAGCCCGGAATACCAAAAGTGCTCGACCTGTGTACGTTCATTTTTCCTTTAGACCAGTGCTGACTTTGAGCCTTGTTGACTGAAGGACCATGACAAAAACCTCTGTGTCATAGCTTCCCCATCAGGTGATCATGGTCTGATGGTTACCCTACCAGCTATCCACAAGTGATAGCTGAAAAATGCTGGGCTGGCCCTAAGATGTGCTAGATCAGAGATTCTCTGGCAGTAGGGGAGAAAAGCTGATGCAGCTTCTTTGCCTGGAGAATCACAGAGAAAGACTTAGAAGCCCTTACCAAAGTGCCAGCACTCTGCCTCAGACAGGGATATGACCAGGCTTCTAAAATGGGTTAATTACCCTGTAATGTATCTAGAAAATGTTGAATTATTTTGAAAGCTAATTGAAGTGGATAAATGTCAATTCATTCAACAATTAATTCTTTAAATTTTTTGCTCTGCCTCTATCTCTAAACCACAAGATAACTTTTTTTTTTTCATTTCTTAGGAATAATAATTTTGTGTTTAAAAATCAGAAACACTAGGGGCACCTAGGTGGTTCAGTTGGTTAAGCTGCTGCCTTCAGCTCAGGTCAAGATCCAGAGGTCCTGGGATCCAGCCCCAGGCCAGCTCCCCACTCAGCAGGGAGTCTGCTTCTCCCTCTCCCTCTGCTCCTCCCCCAATCATGTTCTCCAATCCCACGCCCCCCCAAGCCTCCCGTGCTCTCTCTCTCAAATGAATAAATAAAATTTCTAAAAAATGAGAAACACCTTAAATATCCAATATCAGACAAAGGTATTATTATGTCTGTTCAATTTAATCATATAAAGTCATTGTAAGGGGGGATCTGAAGACAGTATAGTAAATATTCAAAATAGGTCATTGAGCTCTTATTGTGCTAGCATTACCCTAAAAGCTACGCGTGCAATATTTTGTTTAATTAAACAAAGAACCCCAGGAAGAAGGCACTATTATTATCCTTATTTTACAGATAAGGAAACTAGGGCACAGAGAGGGTAAGCCACTTGCCCAAGGTCACTTAGTAAGTGACAGAGCCAGAAATCAAACTGAGGCTCGCCAGCTCCAGTAGTTCCCTTAACAACTATGCTGTAACAGGAAAATGCTTATGATATAATGTTAAGAAGAAAAGAGGGGAAAAATTATAGCTGTGACTCTATCTATAACGGAATGTTGGCTGGCACTTTTCCTGTTGCTCCAGACCTGTGGCTAAAACCCAGGGCTCTAAGAAGAGCTGACAACCCACCCGTGACACATGGGGCCACTAGACTTACTAACGAGGGGCCACGGAATAGCAGGGTCAGAGAGGATCTTGTCAGAGCAGATGAGCAGCCTGAACTTTCTCCTGCAGATAGTGGAGATGCTGTAAAGTGCCCCATCTGATTCTTCTTTGTAAACTCAGTACCCAGCACGATGTCGATGTCCTATACACAGGAATGGCCCAAGGATTGTTGGTGGAGGGAAGCCTGGGTCAGGTGCAGAGTGGGTCGGGCAACCCGACTCTTGATTTCGGCTCAGTCGTGGTCTTGGGGTTATGGGATAGAGCCCTGCATCTTTCTCTCCCTTTCCCTCTCCCCATCCCCACTCTGCTCTCTATCTCAAATAAATAAATAAATAAATAAATAAATAAATAAATAAATAAATCTTTAAAAAAAAAAAAAAGAGGAATTGTTTGTTGAACTAAATGGAGTCTTAGCGAGTGGCAAACACTGTCCTTGGAGTTCTGCACTCATAATGTATTTATTTCCCAAAGATAGGGTTGTCCCGTACTTGAAAGAACAGGAAGATGAGTCTCTTAGAGGTAAAGGGATCTGCCCAAGATCTACCCAGCTCCAAAGCCCAGGCTCTTCTTGAGACTTCACCATCCATTAATGTGGCCACTATGTGTTGCACATAGTAGGAGGTCGATGAACACATACTGGAAAAAAGGACACATACACATGAAATGTTACCCTCCTATAAGAGCAGAATTTAAGAAAAAGGAAGCTTTAGGGGTGCCTGGGTGGCTCAGTCATTAAGCGTCTGCCTTCGGTTCAGGTCATAGTCCTAGGGTCCTGGGATCGAGCCCCGCATCGGGCTCCCTGATTGGTGGGAAGCCTGCTTCTCTCTCTCCTACTTCCCCTGCTTGTGTTCCCTCTTTTGCTATCTCTCTGTCAAATAAATAAATAAAATCTTTTTAAAAAGAGAGAGAGAGGGGCACCTGGGTGGCTACGACGGTTAAGCCTCTGCCTTCGGCTCAGGTCATGATCTCAGGGTCCTCGGATTGAGCCCCACATCGGGCTCTCTGCTCAGTGGGGAGCCTGCTTTCCCCTTTCTCTCTGCCTGGTTCTGCCTACTTGTGATCTCTCTCTCTGTCAAATAAATAAATAAAATCTTAAAAAAGGAGAGAGAGAGAAAGAAGCTTTGGGAATATGAAAAGAAGAGAAACCATAATAAAATAATAGACACAGCTCAGCAGAATAACTTCATCTCCCAGATTCCAATAAAACATGGAAACTTTCCCCTTTCTGGTTTCATTGAAACAGCAATGCTGACATGGACAATTTCTAATCCCCCCGGAGCCTGGCCGCCTATCAGATGTGGCTAAATGCAAGATCTGGCATCATCTGCAGACAACTTTTGGATTATTTGGGGCCTCTAT